TGAATGGAAATGCAGCGGCACAACACCTGTTGAAGTTTTGTGCACTAAACCACACTGACAAGTCTGTATGACCTTAATGAAGACCTGGATGTGGTTTAAGCAGGTTGGGTGACTACGGACTTCTAGTGTTTGTTAGCTACATTAGCCTCATAGCTCCAGCTTTAAACTAGCGAAACAAAATATGCACACTCAGAATGTCTTGGCTGATAAAATACATCTGAGGTAAGGGGAAAACTGTGTAGATTCTATTTTTCTTTGGGTGGTGCTACTGAAATTGTGCTTTGTCAGTTGGGGAAGCTTCCTCAGTTAGACTATAATGCTTACATGTCTCTACTTGGCTTAGGCCTTTTTTGTCCATGCGCACCACTCCGTTATTCAACTATGCAATAAATCATAAGAAAAATACTTTTTTTGCTTTTTCCATAACATCATATGCCCTGTAACACTGTATGTATAAGGGAAACCATAACAATCAAGTCAACTCCATCAGTTAAGTTAAAGTTGCTGTGGCAATGTTCACTCTATAGGGAAATGTTTAGACCACTGGTACACTGGTAGACCTCCCTGCCTTTCTACACACACAGAACTTAATCAGACCTTCCAGGCCACCCTGATGAGCCCTGATTGGTAATGGATACTACAGCTGATTTTGTGCGGACGTTAGGGAGCAATGTTGTCCAAATCAAAGTCAAATTTATTTGTAATGCTTTTTACATTGTCACAAAGCAGCTTTACAGAAAATCTGAGTTCAAGCCCCCTGAGCAAGCCAGTGGCAACAGTGTCAAGGAAAAACTCCAGAGCAAGAGGAAGAAACCTTAGAGGAACCAAAACTCAAAAAAGGGAAGTCCTCCTCCTCTGGCTGACACCATGTAGCAAAACAAAAACACAAGTGCAAAATGAACATCGGATAAGATTTTACAACTAATATATTAATTATGTTAATTAAAGAAACATAGAACATAGAGAAAAGGGAAAACGTATGTGTGGTTTTCTTTGGACAGTGACACACACACACACACACACACACATATATATTATTGTCATTGGTAGAAATATTTAGATTAACCAATGATGTCCTTTATATATATAGATTAATATATATATATATATATATATATATATATATATATATAATGTATTGTCACTGCCCAAAGAAATCTACATTTTTGTCAAATTCATTTTGTCAATTATTTATAGTAGAATAACACATGGGAAAAATTGCACTTTGAAGGTGAATGCTGTTTTACTGAACAGGCAGCAAGGGAGAACCACCACTCAGCACTAGCTGACCCAGCCAGGAAGCAGGCAGCTTGTCATTGATAGAAATATTTAGATTAACCACTGAGCTGATATATATGTAGCCTGTTGGTGCAGAGTAATTTTTACCTATTATTTGTTAACTAACTACATGTGTAGCTACCAATCTTGGCTAGGACATTCCTGTAAAAGAGACGTTTAATCTAAGCAAGATTTTTCCTAGTTTTCCACTTGCTCCAATACTCAGGAGGCTGTGCTACAGTGTCTGTATTCCCACTGATTCTTGAAGTGCTTTCTGTGTTGCTTTCCGCACACCACTCGTCCACCTGCTGTCAGACAAATTCACAGAAATTTTGTTCTCAAGTTAGTGTTTTCTTAGTGACTGCATTCAACACAGCATGCTCCCACCTTTGGTGTTTTTGGAGATTTGCTGGATCTTCTACTTCTTATTCTAAAAATCCATGATTGGGCTTTTAAGATTCAGAGCAGGAACATTCAGGTTGTGGCATGAACTCAGTGTTCTGTAAAAGGCATAGGGATGTACTGTGCACTGTATTAGTCCTAAAACACTGCCCACATATTCTGGACTACTTTTGTTTACTACATGTAAATGGAGAGTGTTAATCTCCTAATCCAACAGCTATGTGTTAGATATACTCTGCACTCCATCATGAAGGCCCGCTGTTCTAACTGTGTACATTCAAAATGCAGACTCCACACCTATTTCGGTAAAGAAGAGTCTGGTACATAAACTGTTACACAAGCAGATCTATAGTGTTGGGGGTTAATTCAATATTATTGTGTTTACTCGGGACAAACATTCAATGTTTTTGCCTGTATATGGAAAAGAATGTACACATCAAAATGCTCAGCGTTGAATTCATTCTTACTTTACTTATCTGCACCTATGCTTAAAGGACCCACCAAATTTCCTTTACTTTTTTTAAATAACACAGTCTGATGGACAGTACTGTGTAAAAGTCAGAGACTACCTTTCATTTATTTAATTTCTAGTCAAAACAGCCATTAAGTTCAAGTTATTCATTTTTCAAGTGAATTTCCGAGCAGAATAAATATAAGATAATCCACTTGCATAATGAAGGTGAACATCAAAGGAAAGTATGTGATAAAAACAGGTTTTCAAAAAATTACTAAAAGATACAGAGAAAGTGGGACTCCTAACAGCCACAGGCAGTCCCCATCAGATAAGCAGTACTTAAAGCTTTCATCTTTGAGAGAAAATCAAGCTCCACTCTTGTCACAGATCTGAAACATCCACAGGTGCTTCTGTCCATCCTTCCATTGTAAGACGACAACTCAGTGCTATGGGTCTGAAAAGATGTGTAGCTGTCAAGAGAAAAGAAAATAGACAAAACTACACATAAAGAAGAAAATTTGCAAATCAAGTAAAGAAGCTCCTGGTGTTTTCGGAGCAATGGACTGACCACCCCAGAGTCCAGACCTCAACATCATTGGATGCACTGTAAAAAATGAGGTCAGCTCAACATATTTATTTACTCATCAGTTCAACTGATTACACTGCTTTTCATGGGTTAGCCAGAGTTTAACCAACTCAAACTTCTTAGTTGAGTCAAAAGTTCTCCAAACTCCCTCTTCTATTTCTGTGTCTCAGTTAGGTAAACAAAATAGAATTAGTGTTTTTCACTCCATCACACAGTCACATCATTCATTTTCTTCTCTTGGGTTTCCAGATATGGACAGCTGTGGCAATGCTGGGCATCAAACTCACAATCTCTGTTTGTTGGGGCAAATTATTAAATAGTTGCACCACAAACAATGAATATTTTCTACTATGTATTAACCATTCATGGACATGAAATGTGAACTTCAGGTCTTCTCGAGTGGAGCAATGGACTAAGCCATCATCCCAAGAGATGACTGTGAGTTTGAACCTCAACGATGCCATAGCCTTCCACAAGTGAGCACCCAGGAGAAGAAAATGTCTGATAGGATTGTGTGATGGAAAGAGTTCCAGCTAGTGGGGGACTCAGTTAGCAGAAAAGCTATTTCTATATTATTCACCCAACTGAGAAGCAGAACAAAAAAATTGAGAATCTTTGACTTAACTAAGAAGTTTGAGTTCAGTAAATTAATTAAAGAAAAGCTGTGTAATTTTAATGCTAATTTTTAACATTGTGTGTATGAGATTGCTTGGATCATGAAAAGCAGAAAATGCAACCAACCTCGGAGACTGAACTTTGAAGGTGTGGAAAAATATCTCAGGAGATTTTGCTGAGAAACTGAAAGCAAGTCTCCTGAAAAGAACGGAAGCTGTAATAAAGGCAACGATTGGACACACTAAATACTGAATAATTTTATATTATTTATAGTCGTTGAGTCTTCTGTTGAATTTTCTGCTAATTAGATATTTTCTGTTTTTTTTTCCTGATGCTGAAAAATTAATAACTTGTACCTAATGGTCTTTCATTCACTCCTCAGTCCATACAGTCCATGGAAACTAAGCTGCATTACCACCTGTTTTGAATGTATTGTTTTTGTGACTACATATTTATAGACATCTGCCTATCCAGGCTACAGCAGTTTAGCTCCGCCAGTTGACACTCATATTATGTGAAGTGTTTTGGCCCAACTGCTTTTTGAATGAGGTCCAATAGAGAGATCATTTACATACACTATATGCCCAAAAGTATGTGGACACCCCTCCAAATGATTGAGTTCAGGTGTTTCAGCCACACTCATTGCTTACAGGTGTATAAACTCAGGCACATAGCCATGCAATCTCCATAGACAAACACTGGCAGCAGAATGGGTGGTACTGATGAGCTTAGGGACTTTAAACGTGGCACAGTCATATGATGCCACCTTTGCCGGAAGTCAGTTTGTGAAATTTCTGTCCTGCTAGATCTGCCCCGGTCAACTGTGAGTGTTATTATTGTGAAATGGAAACGTCTAGGAGCAACAACATATCAGGCATGAAGTGGCAAACCACGCAAACTTACAGAGTGAGGCCACTGAGTGCTGAAGTGCATAAAAATGCCTTTCACTCACTACAGAGTTCCAAACTGCTTCTGGAAGCAACATCAGCAAGAGAACTGTGTGTTGGGCGCTTCGGTTTCCATAGTTGAGCAGCTGCACGCAAGCCAAAGATCACCTGCACAGAGCCCTGACCAGGATGACCATCAGTTGCGAGCCAGACCTTCTCATGCAACATCAGTGCCTGACCTCACAATTGCTCTTTCGACTGACTGAGCACAAATTCCCACAGACACACTTCAAAAGCCTTCCCAAAAAGAGTAGAGGCTGCTATAGCCACATAAAGTGCCACATTAATGCCCATGGTTTTGGAATGGGATGTCCAACAAGCTCATATAAGTGTAAGGGTCAGGTGTCCACATACTTTATTGTCAAGAAGACACAGCAGCAAAGACAGCCTTTTTAATTCTGAGGAATAAAGAGAGCTTGGAAAATGATCATGCAGAAAATTGTTGGTACATAAAAAATACAAATGTCATAAGTGGGCATTTATGAGGGTGGATAGAATACAGGGGTGTGTCCTTCATATGAACACTTCAGGTGCTTCATTTGACATTGGAATTGTTTGTGCCCATATGGGTTCATTCGGCACCGCAGGCATTAACAGTGTCCATTCAGTGCTGTAGGTGAAATTTGGGTGTTTTAGGCTACAGAGCGCGGTTATAATCTATTAAAAAAATATTCATTTATTCCAAAGTCACAGTTGGTGATAATGCTATTTTATTATTATCCCAAGTTTCGTTCTTTATTTAATATCTGTGACGTCAGAGGGATCCTAATAGCGCACTCGCGGGTCTCGCGCTTCACTCTGAACTCTTCCGAGCGCGCGCCGGTGTGGCGAGACTTTGCTCGCGCGTAAGCCTGAACCACTTCAGCTAAAAAACAGAGAGAAGAGAGGAAAACACGGTTTAAAACCTCGTCTTCATACGGATTCATCGCGTTCCTCTTCAGAAGTGGATTAGAGTACAGCTCGCTTTTGAACTTGCCTGCTCGGAAGATGAACCGCTGTGGCGAGAGGACTGAAACCCCCTCTGAGGTAGTTCAACGGTTTTACTGCTTATATTCACTGCTTTTGTCTTTCTTCGTTTTTGGTTCTTTGGGTTTTATGGTTTGTCTGTGTTGGAGTGTGTTTGAGTTTCACCTTAGCTGATGTGGCTACTGGAGTAACGGGGAAAACAACTGTTAGAGCCAGTCGTTTTGGAGTGTTTCCGTCCATTTTGGTCAAATGAATGATTCAACAAGAAGATCTGTCAAAAAATAAAAAGAATTTAACAAAAGAATGAAACACAAACTCTGTTTTGAGACCGTTGGTGGGCGGTTGTATCAGTTAGGCAGTTATAAATGGCTATACCTGAGTAAGGCTACAGTGAATATAAATAAAATCTTTGGCTACGATGTTGTGCTCAGTGTTGTGGTCTGTGGAAGCAAATAAGTCAGTAACTTGCTGTACAAACTGGTGTAGACGAAAACTTTCAGTTTACAGCTCCAACAGCAGAACACAGCAGGCAGCGCTCATTTCACCAATCAGTCTTTGGGTTATCATTGATTTTTGCACTGAGGCTGAATCTTGACCTTAATTTATCGCACAGGTTCCTGTTGTGTTCCTACTTTATCCTTAAATAAAGGCCACCGCTTCTGATTTAGGCTTCAACTTTACAGCAGGTTTTGACTGAGTTTAAATGAACGTTTCGTGCTGAGAGCTATGGACTGATCTTCATTACGCGTGGAGATCACGCTGTTTTCTCTCCACCCGTTTTCCGCCCAGTTTCGCCTCCCGTCACTGGCTACTAATTCACGCTCACAGTTATTTGAGTTTGTCATTTTAACCCTCAGAATATTGATTTTGCTGTTGGATTAGTCTCTATTTGTGTACACCAATTTTACCAGAAGGCGTCGGGCCAAAAAGTCATTTTTGGCTACATTTTGGGAGAATTTGGAGAGGTGGCTTTCAATGTTCTACGCTGGAACATTTTCTACGCTGTTTCCAGACTTTATATCGCTTTGACACTGAATGTCTCGCAGTGTAACATAGTAGCCAATAATAGGAACGAGCAGTACCAGCCAATAATAGCGCAGGAAACGAATCCTACCAGCCAATCCTAGCGTAGGAGGCGGGGTTTTGTCGGAAAACAGGTGGGATAATGCGATGAGCTGAAGTCTCTCATTTATATTTTATTAAACCGTTTAATTTGAACGACTGTTAAAATTTAAAAAGAGCACGCGAGATGCTCTCAGCGCGTGGAACGCTGACAGTCACTCGTCACGGTAAACCGTTAGATTCTAGCTGTTCTTAATGGTCAGATTTCTTGGTTGAATTTTTTCCTTCCTTTTAAACTGGACTTCACTAGACTTCTGAGCTCAATGGCAACTTTTTATACATTTTTAAGTCATTTTAGGAAGATTGCTCTGGTGCAGTGTTTTGTGGTAGTAAAATTTCTTCCAGTATGCTTTGAGGGTGGGTAGTATGACGATATTTAACGTTATCTCGATACATTTTTCCACATTATGTCACTGTATGCTTTTCTAAACATGTTGTGGATTTATTGTGTGCTAAGGTTTCATCCAGTATTGGGGTGGACAATAAGACGATTTTAATTGTTATCGTGATCAGTTTTGCCATATTGTGTGTGTTTTTCTGAGCATATTGTGGATATAGTGCTTTTATAACACTTAACTGCATGTTTCATTACAAACAGAGCAAAGATATTCCTGTTTAATTGGAGTGGGTGCAGTGCAGTGTGTGAAATGTTACATCAAATTAAACAAATTCATAGTTTTTTAAACTATATTTATATTTTTAAATGTGGCACCACCTGTTATTTTTTCGGCTCCAGTTTACAAATGAAATACCATGACGCACATTGAGTATCATGAAAATATCTTGAGGTATAGTGGTAGTATAATTTTGCCATATCACCCATCTCTAGTCTACACATACCATGATGACTCAGTAACAAATGCCTTTTCTTGAATTCCAGCATGAATTCTCTTGGTTAGAAACACATGCATAGTTATTTGTGTTTGCAAAAGAGGGGATTTTCCCATTCCTTTAACTCATACTGCTTTGCTGTAAGTTGTAGGCAACAAGTGTAACAAAAGTCTTAAGTATTAAATGTCATATACCAACAAAAATTACTGAAAGCTCTGTTAGAGAGTGTTTAGACACGATCTCTGTCACAATCAAATGAGTTCTAATGGGGAATCATAAAATGAAGCATGATTGACATTCGCTTTGAAATTAGCACAAGCCTTGTTTTCATTGTGTGGCTTAACAAAACAAGCTTTCATGAAAGTCTTCATGAAAACGTGGGCTGCTGGTCAAGTGACATTATGATGGATTAGCCCAGTATGAAGCTTAATTATTTCCCTAATTTTGTCAGATGCTGCTCACTCACTCAATCGCACCCTGTTCACATTCCCTTTTCCTTTTCTGTATGACTCAGAGGTATAATCATTAAGGCTTAATGATCTCAATTTAAAAGAAATTGACCTATATTACCCTATTCACGTCCAACTGTGAAGAAACAGCTCTGGGATGAATAATGGTCTTTCTAATGCCCCTTTCAGACATGCACAATGACCCAGAAATTGTTCAGACGTTACTCAGAGGAGCTGTATGTATGAATGCAAATGTCCAAATTGGTTGTATCGGACATTACCTGGGCTTTACCCTGCCAGCCCTGTAGTACAAAGTCTGGTAATGTCCGAGTGAACCCATTTGTGAATAGAGCAGGTAATTGTCCAGAGAATTCACAGTGGGTGTGTGGGATCTTCGTGCACGGAGTGTAGCTGCTACATAGTCTTTTCTGCTTGCCTGTATATTTCTTTCCACACATTCATTGATATTGTAGATACGTCCAAATACATATAGTATTAATATAGGTGTGAAAATCATCACGGATGAGTTGGTAGCCTCGTCAAATCAAAAGAAAGTGTCACTTTTATCAGAGCTTGCTGTAAGGTGGCAGATCTGTGGTGCTGAAATGAAAGTATGTATGGATGATGGATGTAGATTTAGATTTGGGCATGTTTACGGAATGTAGTGGGTTTAGCCTGCCAGTGCAGTTCCTGAACTGAATGCAGCGTGCCAAAATGAGTTCCTTACAGTCTACCTGACATTAAAATGATTTTTTTACCTCGTTAGTTTATGTCCCATTTACCATTTAAAAGACTGAATTCTTGGTTTTTGTACTCTTCCATCACCATACACCAGCAGGTGAGGAATATCAGATTTTTACCCAGTATATTTGCTCAGTTTAGTCATAGTCATTGTTATATCTCCCCATCATACAATGCCACCGAGTTAGGAGGGTGAAGGCTTGCACATGGTTCCTCTGAGACTTGTGAAGCGCATCTTTTTGAACTGCTGCTAACACGATGTCACTGGATCAACATGCTTTAACGAGAATGCTAATTGCGATGTGTTGGCTAGCATCACACTGAGGCCCTGTCCACACACATCCAGATATTTTTGAGAAGTTTCCTCTGTATTTTAGTCTCCTGTCCACATGAAAATGCTTATTCATTCACTGAAAGTTGGAAATTCTTGAAAACTCTGTTTTCAGTATTTTTGTATAGATGGGTATAACACAAATGCTGACATCACACTGTTAACTTGCGCATGTCTCTTGCTGTTTTCATTTATAAGTATTTATTAACTCTGAACTATGACGGATGACTGGGTTTTTTCTGTGCTTGGGAGTTAGGGGTGCTTTGAGAGTTATAGTCATGTTTATAATTGAATTCGGCTTTACTTTTTCGTTAAACTGTAGAGTGGAGGCTTGCGACATCCTACTCACATAGAGAGACCCAGGCCAGTGATGCTCTCTTGGACTCCCGGCCATGTATGGCTGCGGCATTTTTTAAAGCAGTTTCTTGATGATGCGCCACTTGGGAAAACACCAGGGAAAAATAATATTAACCAATAATTTCATGTTTCACCTCCTTCTCCCACGACCACCTTCAAACACTGAGCAAAAATACTCGCTAGCTCAGAGACCCTCCTTTTCCCCTATTTTTACTCTGAATTATGTCATGGCACGGAAGGAAAAAGCTTTCTGAATGAAAATATTTTATTTGGAAAGCTTTGTTAACAATAAAAGCCAGCCAGCCCAATGTTCATCACGGTGCTGTATCACATCAGTTAATAGTACTGAAGATCCCATAAATTCTGTGTAGTTCACATGCAGTTCCTAGAAAAGTAGCAGGAGAGAGAAACAGGTATTCTAGACTGCTAGGATATGTAATAATAACCCTCACACTCTCTGCTTTACTGAGTGACTCATACACAAAAAAGTACTTTCAGGCTATAAAGTAGCACTTGAAGTGCTCCGTTATGCATATGTAAAACATGCAGACATTCTTAAGAGGCTAGTGATGTTACTGAAGTATGACACAAACAAATCTGGCGGCTATTCCTTCCGAAGAATTCTCTTGGGGAACTTCTCTCAAATGCCCTGCTGGCCTCATTAAATCTCATGCTATGTAAACTAAGTCATTTTTAAATTCTTGGCTCTGCTTGCATTGGTGCATATCATGGTTTTAAGTGGCTAGCTCCAAGAGGAAAAATACTCATAGCACATCTTAATAGAAGTACCTCACCTGTGTGGTACCTATTATGACAGTTGCGTTACATCAGAAACATTTAAAGGTTATGAGCTGGGGTAATCAAAACTGCATTGAGAATAGCAAGTCCCGATGGCATCCGTTTCCTTGTAACCATACAATATGTTTCACATTTGTTACTTTAAAGCACTAACAAAGAATTTATAAAACGCTATGAGCTAGATTTAGAAGAATACTCTGGTGTATTTTAGCCTAATCTTCATATGCTATATCTTTATTTCATTGTTGATTACAGTGAACAGTAATTTCACTTACAATAGAAAAAACACAGCTTCAGCTTCATCACCTATTATAAGTGTGTTTTGAGTCAACAATTTTCTATTTTTAGCACAGTGAAACTTTCCAAAAATTTCAGATCAAAATGATTTGTTATAATCGAATGTATGCTATAGGTGCGACAGATAGAGATTA